GCTTCTCTGTAGAGGTTGTGGCTCCAGAGCTCAGCGAACGTTGGATAAAACAAAGACATGCGCAATCGGAATGTCCTTCTGGATCGAAGTTGGCAAAAGATCGTCCTTCTTTTTTCGAAGCCGCAGCTCTTGCGTTTGCTGTTGCATTTAGGGCTTGGTATTTATTGTTTGGTAGTTTTGCTTATTAATATACTACATTCCATGCTCAGAAACATTCAAATATTCCGTTATCTGTTTTGGACAGGAAAAAAGCGCTTCAAAAATCACGGTAATCTTGTTATCTAACACTAAAAGTGTTCCGGACCTTTGTCTTAAGGTATTGCATAGGGGCATCTTCAAAAATAGTTAATTGATCCCACTACTAACACCAGAGTATGAAACTAGTATGAAACTCCATCCCAAACCTTTTGGCTTGCTATAAACTTGAATTGCAACTAATGCGAACACACTGCTTATTAATAATTGTAACACTCATCTGACCACTACTGTATTACGACCGCTAATCGGTGAATTTGACAGAATCAGCTGAGCAAATGTGACTTCATAACGCAAATTCAATTGTCTAGTGGTGTAATGGTGAAAATAATAGGCAAGCGTGCGATATAAGTTTTTTCATTTCCTACAGATGTGGCGCTCGTCAAAAAGTCGATGCAGTTCTGCCGGCAAAGAAATGCATTCCACCCGAAATCGAGCCACGTGTGTATGAATATCACAGTGCAACAAGATTCTACGTATTTGATGAAACCAAAAGTAAATGAAAGTTTACACCTCTCATAAGAAAACCCCAGACGGATTTTTACCTTATGGATATCGTATAAATATCAGTGCGAAAGAATGTTGGATTCGCTTCATGTAAATGCTCCTTAACTTTTACATTGGAACAGGCATAAACTCACTTGGAACAGGACTACTCATCCTTAAAAACAGTAAAAAGACTATTTTTCGATGAAATTGTACCACAGCTCCACCTAGCGTAAGTTATAGGTAGAGATAAACATTAAAAATAAGTCCTCGACCCAAAAAAAATTAACACGCTATAACTTTCCAGAAGAACTTCTTTATTTGATCGAATTTTACAAAATTTTTTCTGTAGACAGGGTCACGAGGTGTAACCTTTCATTTCCTTTTGGTTTTATTAAATACGGAGACATGCAACTCAATTTTATTCGCAGTTTATTTAATTAATTAGTATATTTGCTTTATTTCTACACAGTTTGCCATTCAATTTTATTATTAATAATTTTTTCTCATTGTTTACTTTTTGCTTGCAGTTTTGGAATTTTTTTAACATTTTTCTTGCAATTTTGGAATTTTTTCTTAGTTACGACCGTTTGCATTTAAGTGATACAAATCATGCTTTCAGAGGTATCAGAATAGTAAGGAAATCTTAAAGAATTATTATTCGAACCACTCAGGCTACTATACGTACAGAAACCCTGCAACTACCGTAAAAATGAAATGCAGGTCCAAACTACAGAAACAAAGAGAAAGAAAATAACTGATTTTTACCTACCTGCGAATCCATGCAACAATTAATCAAAAAAGAGGTGAGCAGCTAATTTCTACCGAGGATGTACACACAGAACTGAAACTACTGGTTGAACGAAAGAATATAATCCGCTGAGACGTACCTAACTATGAACCAACGACGATTTAACACGGCTATAAATAGTGACAGACAAACAGAAACTATTCAGAACGAAAAATGACACTGAAGATGGCACAACGCCGAAACCGGTTTGTCTCCAAACCAAATTTGACAAGGGATGCCGGAAAATCGTTGCACATTACATCTTAAAGAATTCTTAGTGAATCATTATTTCCCTTCTCGAATTTTCTAAAATGAAGTTTCCTGTGCAAATTTCGATCGGTAAAGGAATGAAGTTAGCGCTATGAAGAATTTTTTCGGAATTTTCTTAAATAAACCGTACATAAAAATCTCTACGAGTTCGTGCCAACCAGTTCACATGATTTTCTTTAAAGATTCGTAAAGAAATTAGAATACATTGGCGATACTCTTTAAAGTTTCAGGTTTTTTTTTGCAGGGATTTGACGACATGTATGTTCATGTGGGTGGTCCAAAAACAGTAAAGTCGGAATTGTAATGCTCTCACCCCTTAGAATTGTTCTATATCGAAAAAGTATACCCCTATTTTTGTATTTTGAAATCAAAAAATATTTAGAGGTCGCTCAAAGCACTTTTCGTAGAAATGGTGTAGAATTCTTCAAAAAAAATATTTTTCGATCGGAAAACTCTTGTTCTCTTCAGGAGACTTCCAATAATAATACCCAATTGTTTATTTAACCATTTTTTAATACTAACGATTTTTTATTGGTCCCGTATTATATTTTTCGGTATTTTCGAGGGTTTATGGTGGACCAATAAATTATAGTTGCGATGAAAAAATTGTTAAATAAACAAATAGGTATTATTTTTGGGATTCTCCTGCAGATAAACAGAGTTTTCCGATAGAAAAATATTGATTTTTAAAAATTCTATTCCATTTCTACGAAAAGTTGTTTTTTCCCGATATAAAATACATGGAAAACTTTGGGCGCTTTGAGCGACCTTTAAATATTTTTTGATTTCAAAATAAAAAAATAGGGGTCAATTTTTTTGGTATAGAACAATCCTAGAAGGTGAGAGCATAAAAATTCCTACTTTACTTTTTCACATGCATTTTTGGGCCACCCTAATTATGTGCATTGTACATGTGATTTCAAAAGTATTTTCGAATGTATTTGTATTTTCAAAATATGTACCCTATAAACATTTTGGCGAACGTTCGAAAATTACCTTCGATATCCAATATGAATATCGAACTGAGAACGAACTCATAACCAACCCTAGTTTTCCAACGTTCATAGTGTATTGGAAATACATTCGAGATGGGTTCGAAAAAAAATTAAAACCATAGTAACAAGAGAGGAAGTGAAATCCAGCTCATTTTCGAATGGAAATATAATGCATCACTCTCTCTCATTAAAATTTCAATTCGATAATGGGCAGGACTTCGAATTCATAACGAAGGAAAAATTCTTTGGATAACGAAGGTTCCGTTTTGCTGGAGAATGGCCTAGTTCTCGAATCGAATACTAAGCTATTCCACATTCGTTATCAAAGGGGATGATTGAAAAAAATGTTAGTTTTCCAATCATTTTCGAATTGTTAACCAAGCCCAATATTTATTGGGTATTTTCTATTTAAATACCTTTTGTAAGGTATTTTGTATTTGTATTTCAAATAATTTTTATGTGAGTTATTTGTATTTTGTATTTAAATATTATTAAATAACTCAATGAGAGGGGAGACCAGGATGTTTGCATGTCTTTAAATAACAAAATATTCATTCGAACAAAAAATGGTGGGTAGGATTGTAAGTCAGGCAGATTCCGCAAAAAGCTTCGGAAGCATTGTCCGGAGAATGCATCAGACTACGCTGATCTTGCTTTGAAGTGCCATCAAAATAAATATAAATTGAGAAAGTTTTATTGTATGGCAATTGAGAAGTGCATGTTAAAAATTTTCGTAAATTCACAAAGGACATTTTGGCACATGCAGCAGTGCATAGCATGCCTTTAGGCACTTAGTGTTAGTAGTCGCGCCTAAACGATTATTTTACCATTTCATTTAATATCTCTGTAGATTACACGTGAAACAAAACTATAATTATTAAAAAAAACTCTGGATTTATTTCGAGAGGAGTGTGCAAAGCTCAGTGGTTAGCGCTTCTGACTTTGCACATCGATGATGCCGGTTCGATCCCTGCTGAAGTCTAGAAAAGTAAGTATGATGAGGAGATGTGGTGATCTCCGAAATACCTGCTATAACTTCTACCGCTTAGAATTTGCTGCTTTTTCCAATAAACAAACGTCGTACAAAGCTCAATTACAATATTTAGATATTGTATAATATTTATTTAATGGCGGCCATTCCGCGGTTGCAAATGGCAAACCCCTGTAATATTTCTCCTATATTTCTGATGTGTTTGTAAAGATTGCGATTTTCTGCAGTGAGTGTGCCGCAAGTGACTACCATTAATATTATCCAATAGATAATTATATACGCAAAGGTATTTATTAGCTATTTACCAACACACACATGGACATACAGGGGTGCATATCTTTTTCGCTAGCCTTATGAAACATTTATGTACATATGTAGGTCTCCAAATGAATACGTGTGTCAAGTTAGCACTACACTTTTCGAAATTGGAAAAGTTAACTACGGCATTAATTGTAGTGTTTTTGTTGTAAATTTGTTGTGGAAAGAAAAAATTTGTAGCTCTCGTTTTTTAAGAAAAAATGGTATGTAGTGCTAACTTGACACCATACACCTAGTCGATAGAATTGAGATATCGAGAAAGTTACTACGTAGCGCTTGAAATGATATTTAATAAAAGTAGGAAATAATAGATTTCGATGGGTACAACATTTTTTATTTATTTATATAATTACACAAATTAAAAGACTTATCTCAATTCCATCGACAATGGAAGTTAGCGCTACATACCATTTTTTCTTAAAAAACGAGAGCTACAAATTTTTTCTTTCCACAACAAATTTACAACAAAAACACTACAATTAATGCCGTAGTTAACTTTTCCAATTTCGAAAAGTGTAGTGCTAACTTGACACACGTCAAATGAATTCAGTTGTCACAATTGTATTCCTCCCGGCAAGTGCATGCGACAACGCTGTCACTGTCGCGTAAGTAATTGCAGCTAATAACTTGCATGTGCATAACTACACACTATATACATACAATTCTTTTACGCATGTTTTTTATATTTTAGTATATGGACTTTTTTCGCTCGAGTTTGACAACATTAATTTTTGTATGCCGTCATGAATTCCACGGATTGTACAAAGACATTTATGAAAGATGGTACATTCGTGATTAAATAAAGTACATCATACAATAATACAGTTCACCTATTTGTATATTTAAATTTAATCAAATACAAGTACATATAAACTATGTTTATTTTCTTTTCAGCTTCCGCGAGGAGCGGTTTGGCAAAGCCTCTTTCTGTTATGTGCGGTGCATTTTATTAATGGTGAGTAATTTTAAATTTTTTATTTTTTTTTGTTTTTTGTATAATATGAATTTATTTGTTCAATCTTTCTTTCGAAACTAACAATAAGTTTTCAAATCTTACAGACAGTCATTATATTTTAATTTTCTGCCGCAATGCTTAATTTTAAATAAAATATTTTCTTATACATTGTAAATTAAAAAACAAATAAATTTCGCATAAAAATATTTAAGACACAAACTATTATGCTTATAACTACTTTCATTACTTTGCTGTTACCTTCACCATTACCATTAGTATCGCTATTGCCACTGGCAGCGCATAAAAACTCGCCCCGCCTTTTATGTGCTGGCAAAACGAAATATACTTGTTCACTTTTTTGATATATTTTTATTTAATCATTAACACTAAGTAATGACAAACGCCTCGGATTTTCAGCAAACTTTTCGATTATTTCCTCCTGAATCATCTCGCGGTTTTCGGTAACGAGTTTTCTATGGACGCTCTCGAGTTCAGAAAGCCTTTCTTATCCTGTTGTGCTTCTGAGCCAGTAGAGTAAAACTCTACGAAGTGTACTAAACGTTCGCTCCACAGTTGCTGTTGTGCATGGAAAAGCGCTCAAAATGGAAATACACGTATTTATCGCTCGTAGAAATTCGTTTTCTTCCTTAAATAGATCTACAACTTCAACATCCTTCAAATCTTCTCCGGACAAGTTCATTTTATCTTTTTTCCATAAATTGTACCAAAGAATGAGTTCACAGCCCATATCTAGATCATAGATCTGTTGAAAATGCTTCTTTTGTACCTGNTCCATAAATTGTACCAAAGAATGAGTTCACTGCCCATATCTAGATCATAGATCTGTTGAAAATGCTTCTTTTGTACCTGTTCACTGGAACATTTAAGTTCTACCCAGAATTACAGCGGACGACGGTAAGGCGGTCTGCGGTAAGTGGACAGCTGAACAGTTGCCGCAATCAAATCCGTCAGAGTGAACACAATTCGGCGCACGACGCCTTCCGTCAGTTGTCATTTTGATTTGAAAATTATCATTAACGTACGTAGATTTTCTAGAAATAAAAATTTATGAAAATATTGGCAAACTTGTGGACTTAATAAACTTACTACAACCAACATTGTGCCGTCCCCGTTGGTTGGTAAAAATAGGAATAAATTTAAATCAACCGAAAAACGTCGCGGGAAAGGTCGCTACCGCTGCAATTAAGAGCTATTCCATATGCCTTTGTGAGTTTTAGTTTTGATAGCGGTTAACCGTCGACCGTTTTACCGTCGTCCGCTGCAATTCTGGGCTTGAATCGAATACAATGGGTGCAATCTAGACAGTGAAAAATCTGGAGTATTTTTTATTGGAAAAGCGTAGTTGTAAAGAGTCCGTTAGTGAATCCAGGTACGGTGCTATTATAGACGGCCGCCAGTACTCATTTTCAATCACTGATGGGGGTTACTTCTGTTTTTTTTGTTTACCTGCCAAATGTGGTAGAGAAATTTCTACTCCTAGATCGGTTATAATCATACGAGATTTTTTAATTAACTCCGTAGTGACTCCTTCTGCATTTTTGCGATCATAACCACTTAACCACTTCCAAAATATTTTCAATATGCTGACCAACGGCAATGAGGTCTAGTTATTGGCCTCGATAGCAAAATGTTTGCTGTAGGTTCCAGCAAGGTTGCATATTTAGCAATTGTTATTAAAGCAATGATGAACATCGGCCTTGTTATAGCAGCACACATTTGATACGTCGACTTTCTTGTGAAAAAGTTTTCCTGAATAGACAACTTTTCTAAAGCTTCCACAACTTTACAAAAATTTTCTGAAATCATCTTGTTTCACACAAAGGTGATATATTCGGAGCATAATTCCAGCGTTTCATTGATTCGCGAAAAAAAAGTTTATCACATCTTTTAAGGAAGAAATAGTATTTCTTATTTCTGGAACCTCGTTTAAGTCATTCACAACAAGATTTAACGGAAGAGGAAGTGTTTTTCTCGCTGTGGTTTTCCATCCTGTTCATCACAGAATGGTAAGAAACTGAAATGGGTGTTTCTTTCAATTCTATACCAATTCAGTGCTTAACGTTGTGCTTATTTCACTGTATCAACGATGAAAAACGCAAAAATAACGGGGGTTTTCTCGACCCTAAAGTTTCCCTTAAAGAGAACACTGAAGAACGGAGGGAAAAGGCACTTAATGCGCTCTACTCCTGTAAGGCTACAATTGGGAAAGACTGGGGGCTACGACCGCAGATAATACACTGGATTTATAAGGCGGTAATTATATATGGTGGGAGGCGGTTATGGGAGGCGGTTGACATCAAATCCTATGTACGAAACCTGCAAGCATGAATATGCACAACAGGGGCGGTTTACTCAACGCCCTAGGGGGCACTAGGGACACTCCTTGACATTCCACCCATAGACCTATACGTTAAAAGTACCGTATCTAACGACTTAGGGCGTCTAACAGTAACAGACTACGAATAACTTGCAAGGGTCACGCCACAATCCTCGACAGAGAGGCGGTGGAGTACAATAGCTCTTACTATCAGGACATGGAAACTGACTTCAATCGAAACTATCGAAACTTCGATGTCCTTTTTCCCGACAGAAGTGACCGGGAATTTAATATTGCTCTCACGGGCGTCTTCAAGATGGACATCGGAACAGGATCTGGAGTGTAATGAACGATTTGGTCTTATATATGCAGCTTTCGGTTCAAAAACCCAGATGCTAAATCTTTGGTACTGTACAAAAATTTAAAATTATTATAGAGTTAGATGTGTCAACAAACTTAGAAGAGGAAGAAGTAGCCAAGGATGACTACGACTTCTGGCAACAACACTAACAGCACGCCATCTTTCAAAAAAGGTAAAAAGGTCAACGAAAGGTGACGAAGTGAAGTCAAACCTATTAGAAGAGTGGGATCAGCTGAAAAAAGGCACAAATTTATCACAGCGCACGACAGTGCGCGCGAGTGACAAAAGCAGACACAGTAGCATGCTGAATTGACTCGCTTATATATACACGAGATTTGGAAGTTTTTATCCAGACGTACATTCGACATGTTTGAGGTATCGTTGGAAAGGTCTTGCAGAGTGTGCCGGTTTAACTCATTAAAAGCGAAAGCAAAAGAGAAAATTTAGAGGAACCAAATTTTGGAGGATACTAAAAGTGAGGTTATGTACAAAAATNTGACTCGCTTATATATACACGAGATTTGGAAGTTTTTATCCAGACGTACATTCGACATGTTTGAGGTATCGTTGGAAAGGTCTTGCAGAGTGTGCCGGTTTAACTCATTAAAAGCGAAAGCAAAAGAGAAAATTTAGAGGAACCAAATTTTGGAGGATACTAAAAGTGAGGTTATGTACAAAAATCCATAATAAAAAGTTTCGACCTCTATAAAGGGGTGTCTGTACGAGCTGAAACATATATGTAACACTCTTGAATCTTTGTTATGTAATAAAAATTTGCATAACAGAAATTCGAGCGTGACATATATATAACACTAGCGTTTAAAGAGTTAAGGGGGTATGTGGGTATACCCAACATATTTAGTGTTATTCCCTAGGTCAATACCTTTCCNGTGCCGGTTTAACTCATTAAAAGCGAAAGCAAAAGAGAAAATTTAGAGGAACCAAATTTTGGAGGATACTAAAAGTGAGGTTATGTACAAAAATCCATAATAAAAAGTTTCGACCTCTATAAAGGGGTGTCTGTACGAGCTGAAACATAAACGTTACCTTATATATTGAGTTCCGGCAACTAGTTGGAAAGATATAGTGCTAAATTGATTTTGGTTCGTGTCTCCACTACCAGATGCTTTGATATATATGTGACGTCTGAACGTACAATATTTTTTTTCAAACTTTCAGGAATTAAAATTCAAAAATAAGTAATTTTTAAACTACCACCAGTGTTGCCACTATTGGTATTTTCCGACCAAATTTGNGTTACCTTATATATTGAGTTCCGGCAACTAGTTGGAAAGATATAGTGCTAAATTGATTTTGGTTCGTGTCTCCACTACCAGATGCTTTGATATATATGTGACGTCTGAACGTACATTCATTTAATATTTTTTTTTCAAACTTTCAGGAATTAAAATTCAAAAATAAGTAATTTTTAAACTACCACCAGTGTTGCCACTATTGGTATTTTCCGACCAAATTTGGTAGCTTATTTTTCATTTGGTAGATTGGTTGGCAAAGTAAGATTTTGGTAGGATAGTTGAATTAATTTTTTAAATTCTTAATTATAAAATTATATATTTCAAACATCATTTTGCATATAAATATTTGCCAATTGTACCTTTTAAACATTTTCCAATCCTGCCTTTAAAAATAAGAAACCTAATTGGTTTGGCAACTGATGGAGCCAATGTTATGGTTGGAGACTTGAGTGGGCTGAAAACATTATTGAGTGCAGAAACCGATTTATTTTATATAAAGTGCACATGCCACTCACTTCACCTTTACTCAAGCTACGCTTGTAAAAAATTGCCGAAAAGCATTGAGACACTGGGCCTCATGCATAAAAAGTGAGCTTAAGCTCAGACTCCATTTTTGCACTGATGAGGTGAGCTCAAACTCTAGAATTTGTACTGAAAATCGAGTCGTAGCTTGAGCTCACTTTTTATGCATGAGGCCCACTGTGCCGCAACATATATAGTTTCTTTTCCCACAGTCCTAAGGGGATACATGAACTGAAGGAATTTCAGGACTACTGTTCGGTAAAACGCCACAAATTCTTGGGCATATCTCAAACTCGATGGCTTTCACTAGGAAGCGTTGTGTTGAGAATAGTTGAGCAGTGGGATAGATTGAAACTTTATTTTGTTTACTGCTTTTACAAAGTAAACGGTGTGCGATCTGCAGACCTTGCAGAAGGAATGTGTTGCAAAACCAAATGCTATTTTTTATTTCTATCGTATATTTTGCCCATAATTAACAATCTTAACAAAGAGTTCCAAGCTGAAATCTCTCGTTTGCCATACT